ATACCACAAAAACTTACAGAGAGGTTTCTCAAAAGGAATTTGAAATTACGTCGCCAAAGCAGAAAAAGGGGTTACCCGAGGGGTATTTGTATATCAATGATTGGCATGGCATAAATTTCCCCACCCCCCTTCCCCGCTTCCTTAAAAACGCTTATTTGTTACACTTTATGGTTTGCTTTGTAATTAGACTCATAGATGTGGATCAGGTACGTCAGCAATATACGTTGTATCTGCTTCAAAGTGAAAGCCTACATATCAGACTAAATTTGCAATCACTTGTTTCCAAATGTAATTTTCCCCTTGTTGACTCTCGAAAAGTTCATTTCAGCATATCTCAAAGGTTTCACAGAAAATATTTGAATGAAAAGAAAGTCAAGAGTTCTCTTGATTTTTGTACTTCTGGAAGAAAAGAAAAATCTCAAGTTTTCCGTGGAAAGTGTACTTATTAAGGAACGTTTGTTCCCTGTATGCATTACTGAAAAATAAAAAACTAAAAACTTATTTATGGTTCTCGTTTAGAAATAATTCCTGTGGTATAATTACGATTACACCCATATGAATTTCTCAAAAACTACCCTCGTTATGCAATCTACACTCGTAACCCTCCTTATGGAAAAGTTTCCTGCAAAATTTCGTTCTTTGGTTAAAGGGGCAAGCGGGGAAACTTTTTTCAAGGGAAGCTTCTTTATAAAAACGTTTTTATTTGAATCTGGATACCCGCTAACAATTTTTATGATATTTTGACCAGAATGATATTTACAGTATGGATATGTTTTAACTTCTGTACAATACTTACTCATCAGATCCAAAAGAGAGTCGGCGGAGATTTTCTCAACTTGTGCCAACAAACAGGCGACAAGTGAGAGAAGGAGTAATACCCTAGTGAATTTCATGGTCAAACTCAAGTCACTGGCTGTAGCCAAAGGAATGCTTTGTTGGGCTTGTATTAGCTAAAGCAATGAATAATAATTTTTTGGCCAGTTCTGCGCTCTTTTATAATTTCACTCGAAATTGTCAACAGCTGTTCGCGCGCTGGTGATTGTAATTGGGTACTCTTCGCAGCACGGAATTTGGTAATTTATTACCGCAAAAAATTAATGTCACGAATACCTCCAAAACATTGTAAAACTAGAAACGTCCAAAGAAAGGATAATATTGTCGTCAAGTAATCCAACAGCAAGGCCGGAATCTAAGGAATCCAACGGAATAGAGAAAAAAGTTTCAAAATGACTGGTGTCGGTCAGAATTAAGCATCTGTACTAAGAGATATTGATTATTTTATTGATAAGAGGTGTTGACCCCAATTTAAATGTGTTGAATAACATGTGTGAGAAGGCGTTTTTATCATACCACATCTAGACTATTTGACACGTCTTCCAAACGAAAAAGTGAGCCCTGAGGCCTAGCGGTGCTTGCGAAAAAATCTTGCTTTATTTTTAATTTCGCCCCGACATCTGTTACAAATGCATCGCTTCTGTATAAGCTTGTGATGTCAATAGTTTCGAGGAAACACGTGATTCTTTTTTCATTACTGTTATTTTTGTTAATTCATGGGGAACAACATCGTTACTCCGCCTTAAAATTTAGATCCTAATTTAAAACCAAGAAAATTTGGATTTGAAAGACGACCGATTTTTCCCTTACGTTGGATTATTGCAAACAGTAAGTTGGAACTATGAGCTAAACTTGGAAACTTCAATATTCAGCTTCGTGATACTACTGTGCAGGTGGGAGTGTTTAATTGTGGTCGTACCCATTTTTAAGAGAAAAAACGGCGTCTTTGTAATCTTCACGATCATTTACAAGGTTGTCATCTGGTCAATAACTCCACGGTACGCCTTTGTTTTATTAAAAAAAAGACATTTGCATGCGTTAATTTGCAATATTAGTCTTTGCTTAATGACTTCAAGTTATGCAATGGAACTTAAGGGAAATTAATGCGGAGAAAAAGAAAATTGATTCACAATTTTTGTGGTGGAAGTTTCTTAATGAGACAAGTGGTTCTAATTAATACGAAAAATATATGGTCACATAATGTGGTCACTTTGAATATATCTGGCGCTTGGTTTTTTACAAAATCTAAAGTGATTGTTTATTAGGCAAAAGAGGCGCTACATGTTTGGTGGGAAGTGGGGGTGAGTTGTTATCACGCTAGTTTTTCCTCTCTGGAAATGTTTTCTGTTTTTCAGGCTTTGCTTTGTTGCGTTTTTTTCCGTCGTGTTTCCCAATTTTTAATGCAGCAAATTTCAAATTAGTTTCCGCAGTTTCTTACTCATCGTGAAATATTTTACAGTAATGTCATCCTCCACTCTGTTTAGTCTTCGTTTTCGTTTTCATTTGTAAGATTTTAAGATAAAATGTTCTTGTCTTGGTTACGAAGATAAGATATACATAAAAAAGGCAGCTGCCTGTAGCTTTGGTTTCGTGATTCCAACATTGATTATTACGAGACAAAAACCACCTTCACTTCAACCCTTTAAACCCAAATAGTGATTAGCACCTAATTTCTCCTTACAATATGACCCACGAATCACACATTTAGGTCACGAGAGTAAAGGAAATGATCACCAACTAAAGAAGCCCTAAATTGTTAAACAAATTCTCCTTGTCAACACCCTAGGAAATTTATAGAGCATAGTATGGAGAGTTTGCATACTGATGTTAGGGTATAAAGGGTTAGGCTTAGGGTTTGTTAATTGGTAATGACAACGTGGACACTAAACATGGACAAAAAAGCTTCGTTAGATTATTTATAAAATGCTTGCAGAGTTGGTAGTAGTGTCGTTTTCTAAACAAATAAATTGCCGGGAATAAAAATGAACTACACGAGACGGTTCTACTACTTTTCATCTCTGGAGATATTTGCACTTTTAATAGCTTGATTTGACTTAAAATAGTGAAATACGCAGTGTGGAAAAAGAATTTAAGGGAGGCCAAAACACGCTTAGAGTCATTCTACTTGAAACGCATGGAAATGTTTACCAACGAAGCATTTAACAGCTTTGTGCAGGTGAGATATATAGATAGTTTATTACTTTTTAATGTTCTGGGTACGCTCTGTTAATGAAGATTTATAATAAAACAATCCTTCAAATCAATTCGTACACTTTTTTTTACTAAAATATGACCGCAAGCATCAAGTATTTTACAACTGAATATGTTCAAGAAACCTTTCAAATATTTAATGATATTTTCAATAAGGAAGGAATGCTAACAAATCTCCTGACTCAGAGACGATAGAAGAGATACAATCATTCAGGGAAATCTTAATTGTTCATAATGCTGCATCCTTTTCAACATGGCTCCCATTTTGATAAAGGTATATACCCAATCAATCTGGGGCATGAAAAAAATTGTTGGAAGAAGTAGCATTCAACAAACGACCGGTCAAAATTGGTGGGAAGACGCACTTAAAATTATCATCCTCGGAAATTTCCCCTATCCATCTTTTGGTTAGTTTTTTTTCTTTTTTGTTATAATGTGTGATCCGCCATAAGCGTTTGCATTGTTCCTCAAATATTATGGGGGATAAATGAAAGATTTCATAAGAAAATTATTCATTGTGGAAGTCGTTATTCTAGAAAAAATTCTCCCTTTTTAATAAAGTGTTTGGGCAAAAGGGAAAAAAATTATTCGCCAGCAGATCTAACAATCCACGAAACATATAAAACAAACCATTACAAATGAAAGAACTTAAGCAATACAGCATAAAAACGGACTTTAGTACGTATCAGAACATTTCTGCCATATATATTTACTTTCCAAACTCTGCTGATCAGTTGAATAATTCAGTTTCAAGGAAAATTTGCAATTCTCTAAATGCTGGTTTTTTTGGTCATGAATACTTTCGTGAGTAATTATGGCATGAAAAGAATACATGATTACGAATTATGACTTATTTGCTCCATTCATCTGTCTTCTGTCACAAGTCCTGAAAAATTCATAAGGTAAAGGTTATTGCGGATAATAATGAAAAAAAAGCGTGACTCAAAGAGAGAGTGTTTCTTGGCTCAATCCACAAATCTAAAGCTGATTAAATGAATGAAGTGGTTCAGTGAACAAAAGATTCCGTTCAAGACAAAGACTGGAACTATTCTCCCTTTTATTAGTTTTTCATTTTGATAACGTCTTGGCTCTCTCATTTTCATGAGATGGAGCAGGGTAATTATCCTTTTTTTTTTAAAGCCCTGGGAAAAGGGAAAAGAAAACAAAAATATATATGTATACTTAAAATAAAAAATGGAAAAGAAAAAAAAAGATACCAGCGAGAATATTTTGTAGTAGCATCTGAGACTGATGTCAGCGCATTTATTTTCGTCTGTTATAACCTACACTTTTTCTTGCATTGTGCAGCAGGCTCGTTTCTTTGGTAAGAATGCCAGGTTGTGTGTCCTGAGGCTCAAGTGGCTAAATAAGCCTTATCAGATCGTTAATTATCAGATAAACCAGAATTCATGAAAATGCATTCTAAGGACATTGTGAAGTAAACAGAGTTGTACATAGACAAAATAATCCTGCCATGAATATCATTTTCAGACTTCAAGTTCTCTTCGGGAACGAGAATATACAGCGAGAGGAAAGTTTAAATGTTTAAATGAACGTTCCATCATTTGCCTCACGGTTTACATTCAGGCTATCAATTGTGCTGATCACGACGTTTCGACTGTTAGACTGCTAGTCTTCGTCAGGTGACTTGGTCGGAAGTTTACGTGTCGCTTTATATAGCACGTTGTTTGCTTTCATTGGTGCGTTTTGGCGCGCTCTGCCATCTTAATAGCGAAAGGACCGTGGCAGATCTTTTTGAGCCTTTGAAGAAGTCCGTCGATTCTTTGGAATCATGATGGTCATCGTGCCTTTAAACTTTGTTCCATTTGTATGTTCATGCAAGCTCGATAACGGGTTTTTCTATCGGCAAACCCTCGCTTGTTGTCTTTGTTGTTTGTCATCCTTTTGAAGACCTTGTCACCAGTTGAATAAAATGTCAACAACCACACTGATATCGAATCGCAGTTCGAAAGGCGCAGGTCGCATCACTTCAGTTTCCACGGAAGTGTAATTTCAAGCGCCGTGTGACTTATTATAATAGAAAGGTCTTATTTGGATGAACGGCTCATTGGGAAAATGATTTGAGGTAAGGACCACTCTGCTTCAAATTTGATCCAGTAACATGAGTGCACCATGAATTTTACAAATCAGATTTTTAGGAACGCTTGAAATCTTTCCACAATATTTGAACAGCACAGGTTGTTAAGTTATGAACCAGTTTCTTTGCTTTAAAGGGAGAGAGAGCTTAGTTTCCAAGATACAATAGTGTTACTCGTTCCCTTGTGACATGAGCCATCTAAATTTGTCAAGCATATTTTAAGTAAAGTTCAGAAGTTAGAATTGCCTTTGATGCGGTAAAAAACAAGTTTGAAACATATATTTGAAAGATCTTCGTTTACCTCAACTTTCTCCCTTTGATTTCCTTTGTTAAAGTTAATAGATTCCTTTTCGAAATATTTCTGGTTTTCAAACGATTTTAAATTTAAGCTTCAATTTTGCAGAGTTAATAAGGATGCATTTTTAGAGTGACAGTATGTAAACACGAAGGAAAACCTCAGGCGACGAGAGCTTGGCACCGGCAATATTGACATAACAGTGATTTGGTTTTATCAACTGAGTTGATACTTTGAATCGGCCACTGTGGAAAGGTTATAAAGCTAGCCCTTCGTTATTCGCTCTAACGACGAGCTAACGCTCAAAAACGTCAGTTTTATCATTTCTATACGGTTGCCAATTCATGCTATCAATACAATTGATAAAACCAGATTATCTTGTAATAACCTCCCACCGACGCAGAACGACAGTTTTTTTTTTTTTTTTAACAAACTACCCACTTTATTCAGATGTTGACATGAGGCTTGGGAAACGTCTTGTCTATCGTGACATTGTCCTAAATAATAACTTTCCAGTTACCTTGAGGAATTCATATTTAATGTGTGGAATAGAAACACACTGTTTATAAGTGTAGAATAGGAAAAAAATCTTCTTAAAAGCAGTCCTTGGGCACATAGCCATAGTTATTCAGCGCACTGTTTAACAATGACCCTTGGAGTACGTGTTGGATCTAAGTGCTTCAATTAAACATGTATAATTCGGATACAGTCAACTCTCTGAATCTCTCTCGAGAGAATTTCCGCCAACGGACACTCTCGTAAGCGGACACTTCTTCTTGCAGACACTTTATCAATTCCCGTTTTGATTTTGCCTCCCAGTGAAATCCGTGAACTCCCGTAAGAAACCATTAACTCGTTAGCGAAGTGAAAATTGGATTTTTCTCAAGACAAATTTGCATCGCATGAATTTCGCTATAATCCTTATTCACCCTGGTGGGACGATTATGGCTCCTTTCATCAATTATTTACCGGCAAAGACCCTATCTGTTTCTTCTTGCAGGTCTATAAGTTGATAGACCTGTGGGCGAATACCTCAATCAATTATAAAGCAGAATTCGTATCAGAATATTAGAAGTGTATAAATCGATAATGATCAACCTTTCTCTATGTTTTGCTGGGATGCAAGTGTTACTAATCTCCATGCATATCATCTTACAGAAGCCTGAGCTTGAGATGATCGGAACAAAATTGAGTGCACCGTTATTGCTGCCTTCCCTTCTCCTTTTCCTGCTGCTAGAGGACAACGCAGGTAATTAGTTTTCACCTAAAATGCAATCTTGATTTTTGCATTAAAGTGACCCTGAATTGCATTGGTTTGGCTTACTTTGCTGTGTGACTAGTCGCTTCAATTTCTCGACAGTAAGAACTCCAAGACAAAAATAATCGCAATTTAATCAATCGCGTTTTCTCACGCTTAGCCAGTTTGCTTATTTTTACATTGAGTTTTCACTATCTTCTCGTGTTATTTTGCTTTCTTCTGATTTGCTGTTATGATCACTTTCGTTTTAACAACACTCAATCAAAATGCGCTTTTTAAAACACGTATGCATATGTATGTGGTTATAAAATAATTAATGCTGAGTTTCAGAAAGCTCTTCTCAAAATTTCCGTGGAGATTTGAGAGAGAGCTGAGTTTAGTTTTGAGATCAGCAATCGCTGTAGTCCTACATACTAATAAAAGAATGTGAAACTTCGGTTCTAATTTCTCATTCTAAAGTCAGAGTTTTTTTAAATCTCAATCGACTAAATATAAGAAGTGCATGTAAAACCATTCTTTTACGCATATTACACGAATAGATATCCTTCCCTCTGTTACATATATTGCAGCGAAAATTCTCTGATCCCTTAACCCACAGTGATTCCACCTTTTTACATAGTCTGCAAGGAATTTTTTTTCTTCCCAACTGACTTGAGCTTTCTGAAACATAGATGGCCGAGCTATAGTGTCGCCATTCTTTCGACCTCCACCCGGACAAGAGTATGAAAAGATTAACGCCATAAAAGGTAGTTTGAGCATCTTTGTTTAATTCAGAGCGTTTAGCCTTAGCACTTAGTAGCTTAGGACTTGAACAATGTTTAGAGCCTTACGCGTGAACGATGATTCTTCCTCGTTTCTCGTCGCTTTTGGTCTAGACATGCGCATATGATACCAGAGTGAAATACTCGATGGCCTGGTAAATAAAGCACAGGAATTGCGACTAAGAGGTTTGAGCTCGAACCCTGGCCAGGTTACGGTGTCGTGTTCTTAATAAAAGACATTTCTATCTCAGTGCCTTTTTCTCATCAAGAGTATGAATAGATGTCAATTACGTTGTGTCAGAGAAACCTGAAGAAAGGCTGTCGAATAACAATGCGATGGATTGGAAGCTTGTCTAGGGCGGAGTAGTTATGATTCAGCGGGATTGGCTGAAGCATTTTAAACCTTTGAGTGCATACTGCTGACTTTATCCCGAGGCATTAGCATGGATTTACCCATTTTGTCTTTCTTTTTTTGATTTTTTTTTCTCACCTTCTAAAATAAATTAGCCGATGATCAAGCGTTTTATTTCTTTCCATTTCGTTTTGTTTTGTGTTCTTTTGAACCACCTCAGACCATTTTTATGAGCAGTTCTATGGTAAAGGAGGGAAAAAGAATAAAATAAGTCACAAGAAAGTACTGACATCGCAGGATATGACATTAACAAGAGAAGGTGAGAAACCGCATGTAATGTAATTGTATCGTGAAACATGTCAAGTTTATTTTGTAAAGAATTAGTTTTCACAGGCTTAACAAGAAACAACAGGTTAACCAGGCAAAAGTGAAAACGTGTATAATTCGTGCACCAGGCAGGTGTGTGAATGAAGCATACCAATATCAGACTTGTCTGAGTTAAAGGAAGAAAACTTCGAACCAGATTTGATTTACAATGTAGACCTTATCATAATGGACCATCCTGCCAGTGCAAATTGGTAACTAATGTATTGCGAGGATTTCTTCTAATATTGCCTCGTACACAGCTCTGTTGCAGGCAACCTCGGCCCAGACCACCGCACTTGTTGCTGCAGCTCAAGCTGCGCGCTCATCCTTGGAGATCTCGGAACTAGCTCAGAAGGCCCAGGACATCTCAGTCAAGAGAGCACTATGGGCATTAAAGACAATCAAAGTTGCAGCGAAAGCTGAAGAAGTGGCGGTGAACGCCATACAGACCATGTTTATGTAAAAATGAGTAGCAGTATTTCTAGTTTTCGCAGTCAGATTTTACAAAATATAGAATTTAAAAATTGTCGCCTGGTTGTAAGACCTTTGAAAGAAAAAAGTATAATAAATATTTGTGCACAAAGCAACTTTACACCATAATTAATCCCTCTACTTTTAAAGTATTCATTACATCACCTTACCATTCCTTTGATTATAAATGCTATCATGCCAAAATTACATTCAGAGCGGAGAGTATATTTGAATTTGCACCGCTCGTTAATGAGTAAAAAAATATAAATAAAGGTCAAGTTTTCAAGCTCAAGCTTCCTACTTCTAGGATTTAAACAATAACTAAGCCACATTACTGGTCTGCAGATGACACCCGCAATAACATTTAGCGATGACATATACCCAAATTAAAGTTTAGCTATTTAACAGTGAAAGCTTTGCTCTAATGACGCTTTATGTTAAGACAATACGTAATAACATATCAACATAATTTATGATAATGTATTTTGGTAAGTGACATGAAGAATAATCAAAGCAAGGTTTGACAAAGCCCTGATATTTCTTCAATCTTGCTTTTTCTTATCTATGTAGGATAAAAATACTGCAAGGAACTGTTTCATGCAATCTTACCTATGCTATACATCGTGCTCTCATTAAAATAATTTATTTTCTTGCTCTAATCTACGATGAACATTTCAGATTCCGAAATCTTGCAACTTGTACTTCATTTACCGTTCAATTTGTTTTTCATTTCATGAGAAGCTGTGTCACGAAGTAGTAAGGGAGGATACAAATGAAAGGAAAAAAATTTGTCCAAGTTAGAGCAGTAACATGTTTTAAGGGTCATTTGGCATACAGCGCTCCACTTGACTGAGGTTTATTCCTTGTTGGACAGACCAATTTTAACATGATTTTTTACAGGGGCTTTTGTTTTAAATGGCTTACTGTACAAAAGCCTTTCCATCGTTTTAGTTAAACGTTTGAAGAGGTTTTCAATCTTAATTAGCTAGGAAGAGGCTCGTGAAACGTCTCGACAAACTTGAGGGTTTTTAAGATTTAATTTCTCAAAACGAGAAACACAGACGTTAATGGAACAAAGACGGTAAGGGGTGCAAGCATGGACATGATTTTTTTTTTCAAAATGCACAACCCACGGCGTACCTCCAATTCTTAAACACTGAAATAGTTATTCTGCTCATGACCCCTTAAGACCAACACCCTCAGAACAATGAAGAGGCCCTTTATCTTCCTTAATTAACCACCTGTTCATCTGTCAGATATTCAAATCAGAACGTCAAGGATATAACGTATGCATAACAGATTGATGTCAAATTCATCTAGTATTTTCCTACGCTACAACGAAAAGGAATTTTTGGATTGCTTTTTTCCCTTTTTTATTTTTAAGGTAAGAAATCTAACATACGACATAACGGTTACATTTTTGCTGCGCAGTTTTTTTTTTCGCTAAAATCGAGATAGAGTTTAGTCTGCAAAATACGATGTTTGATGTTTGTCGTCCATGAACAGGTCGAATTGACTTTTCGTCGGGCAGGATATGTGGTGATTTACGCCTTCGTCGATCCAATGTAAGTCATATTTACATGTTTCATATTGTGGTTTCGATGTTTAAACCAAATTAATTCCGTTCTTCAACGTCGATGTTCAAAATATGAGTTTTCCGGGATATACTCTGCCCCCAGTCTACCTTTGGTCATGAAACCAAATTAAATCTTACTGAAAAATAATAGAGAGCTTTACCAGTCATTAATGTCAACTTTGAGGTAAGGAAGTCGTGTATAACTGAAGCAAACTTTGAATTTTATTAACTTATTATCCAGACTTAAAGAGAGAAAATTATTAATCAAATGGGATCTTCTTAATAAGCGCTTGTTATACTAAGAAAAAAATAGCACAGGTCTGAACAATAATAGATTCAATCTGAACGGGGGCAGATGAATTTTTATCTTTACTTTGTCGTTGTTGCAAGAGTGTAAATGGTTCATCTTCTAATCACGAAAAAAATGTGTGGTTTTAAAACCGCGTACGACGCCATATTGTTTGGCGCGATCTCTACCTGTTAATACTCAGTCTGGCCACCAGTTTCCTGCCAGGTTTCACTCGACCCGGTAAGATAATTTAGGATCTCTTTTTCCACCTGAGCCTTGCCTGTAGATTTACCCTTTTACTTCCTTCTTTTTCTTTGCGAATTCAGTTGCTGCAGCTGTCATCAATGTCCAGTATGTTTCTCAGAAGCATATGATGTTTTGCGATATTGTTAGGTGATCAGTATGCATTTAATTATTATTGACAGTTACAAGAGGAATACCTGTCGAACCAATTTTCAATCCATGAAATGGAAAGCAACTGAACCCCCTTTGTACTAGCAAGTTATCCTTGGTCATTGTAGTTGCCAAGGAAATATTGTTCACTACTTACTTCCACGAAGAAAACCTGTCATCTACATTTGTATATCTAGAAAAACTCGACCTTTGCAAGTTCCTCTGTTTGACTCTTAGGGAGAGTACCAGATGACCTCCGGCTACAGTGAGGTCTCAGACGTCCTCAGTGTGGAAGCATACTTTGACAAGCCTTTCATGGCATATTTCTTTGTCTACCAATCAGATGATTCTTTATCTGACAATGAGAAATTCTCGTTATATAGAATCAGAGGATTACTCCTCATTTTTTCATATCGAGCAATTTCCGAAGCTTTTATTTTGCGTGGTTTTCGTATGTGGTATAGTTGTCTTGATGGAAATAAAGTTCTGGAAGGAGCTACCGTTCACATATCGTTTTATGAAGAAATAATTGCTCTTGTTTTTGCTTAGGTTGTTATAGATCAGTATCGATGATGCATTGGGCCGTAGTGACCTTCGCAGTGATTATTGCTGTTATAGAAATCACAGGTGATGATTCCAAATCTATTTTATAACACCACCGTCAACTCTGCTTTTCATAAAAAAAACTCACCAGTTTATGAAAGAAAACAATCAGAAGGAACTGCCACTCCCTCTCCAGCAACCCTTCTGACAGGGACAGCGCAGAGCAGGGACTGAGAAAGCTTTAGCCCTTCCATTTTGGCCAATAAAAATAATTAGATAGACAAATAGTAAAACGATGCAGAAAAATTTCATAAGTTTATACGTAAAGGACAAATGCGTCATCAGGTAAAATACAAGCACAATTAACTTAAATTAAAAAATAATTACAAGTGTGTGACGACATTAAATTTATCACCTCTTACTCATGCTCCTAACGATTTATGTCGTTTCGTTTTGACCTGTTTCATAGAACTTAGCTTTCCTTTGCTTTTTTTTTAGAAGCCAAGCCCTACGTTAGGAACAGACAATATACTGAAAATCCTGGAAAAGGTAAATCCTATGGATCAAATAATGCTGAATATAAATTAACTCTCAAAAATTTCAAAATGATCTTCTCCAGTCGGGGTGAAGCCAGCCTATGGACCCGTTGGTCCGGGCTTTCAATTCTCTCCCTAGATGAATTTTATAATCTCACTCTTGCAAATTTAAAAAACAAATTGAAATTTCTTCGGGAACAAGCTTACAACAAGTCAAAAAGCTGGCTACGTCCTGCCTATCAACCTTTTTCGTGGAAGAATTCCAAAAAAATGTCTGTTCGACTTTTTGGCCTTGTGTTCTAACCTCGATCAACCTTTTTTTGTTTGTGCAAATTACAGGGGCTTGTGCAAATAATCGGTATAGATGTGAAGGAGGGAATAAGTGCATACCGTTAAAATGGATCTGTGATGGAGTTCATGACTGTGACGATAAACTCGATGAGCGGAATTGCTTAACAGGAAACGAAACCAGCATTCCTTCCTACAGTAAGTTTAAATTCCAATAACTGTTCAATTCATTAAAGGAACGGTATGTGGAAAAATTGCTCTCTAGGTATTAGAACGGATAATTATGTAACGAAAGGAGGTAGTGAACAAAGGAGTAAAAGGTTGAAAGCAAGAAGGGTAATTCCATCTATGCTCGCAACTACTGAGTTAAAAAAAGAAGATACAACGTCGAGGACTGCTAAGATTTTCAGTCTTTCAGCGTCCTGTCCTCATTATAATCTTCTTCATGGCTAATTTGATATCTGCGAGTTTCTTCTTTTTCTTTTTTTTTTTCTATGGCTGTATACTATAATATTCGGGAAATTACATTTCACAGTTCATGCCAAGGAAATCAGTGAAGCTCAAGACATCATAGACGGCACCAGGAGATCCGGAATCAGTGGTAAGCGAATTCATTCTTGAATCAGATAGAAAGAAGGTCACAAATTAGACTCATCTTTTATTTGTACTAATTTATATCCAGGCTGCCCGAGAAATACTTACTCATGTGACGAAGGTCAAAAATGTCTCCTTATGAGTTCGTTGTGTGATGACATGAGCGATTGCCACGATGGCACAGATGAGAAAAACTGTCCTCTAAAACCAGGTAAGTGACTGCGGGGACGATGTTGTTGTATGTTTGACCGTTGCCAATGGCCGATTGTATTTTTGTAGTTGTTTTAAGATTCTGTGCGAACGTGATTCTGACCCTTTGAAAGACTTTTTTTTAAATCAGTTCGATATGTATTTCCACCATTGAGTCGTGACCTTTCTTTTCCTTATTTACGACTGTTATTCCATGATGTGTCAGCTTTATATTTGCACCGTTCTAAGCCTGTCTTTCTTAGTCACCAGACCACCCGCCAGAGGAAAAGACTTACTTATTTCTCTTCTAAAATGTCTAGTTTTCTCTGTATCACTATCTAAATTTCTTTTCTTTCGATACAATATCTCAAAAATTATCATAATTCACTTTAATATCATTTTCAGTGATTCTTCAAACCATATAGCCATTGCCAATTCAAAACAAAATTCCCAGATATCACGTGGTGTAAATCTTTGAGTTAACACTCACTCTTATTTTTATGAATTTAAAATCTAAAGCATGTGAGTCAAATAAGTTATCCTGCGACGAGGGAGAGAAATGCCTACCGCTGACCTGGGTGTGTGACAACATCAGCGATTGCAATGACAACAAGGATGAGCATAACTGTCCAAACAAGAGGACTGGTAATGAGTGACATGTATTTTTTTACCTAAACTATGAGTTTTAAAACTAATTCCCGCTACATTATTTGTTTAAATTTATGTAGCTTGGCTTTGTTTGTTTGTCTTTTTGCTCTCGTCCAAACGCCTATTGTAGACATAGACTTAAAATTTCTTGACAATTTTTTGTTCTAAAAGATAATGTATTTGTACTCATAGGAAAATCTCTAGCGCATGCTGCTGAGGAAGCAGCAATGACCGCTGCCCAGGAAGCAAAACGAGCCGCAGCTGCAGCTGAAGACATGATGCTGCTGGCTCGAAGAGCCGCTGAAAAAGCCAGTCGCGCCTTAAAAATTGCGGAAGATTATGGAGCAAAAAAGTCATGAGAATGTGAACTGACATTAACTCCATTTAAGAAAGTTCATAGAACTTTTGTGGGCGGGGAAGCATAACGTCTGTCATCTTATGCACAATGTAAAATATAACGAACTCACTATATATCAGTGGAGAGATCATGTGAATAAAATGAACAATTTCTCTTTTATTCTTCGTGAATCTTAAGAAATAGCTCATCTGTCCGTATTGATAATTTCTACCGACATTTCTATAACCATTTTCCAGCATATTTGTTGAACAATTTCACCCAATGGGTAGCTGCCATGTTAGGATTTTCCTCCTGAAGATGGGAAAGGAAGAATTTTCGTTGACAACAGTCTCGTCTAAATGAAAATTCTTCTTTTTCTCCCTGATCTGATATCAACAGTAGAAACTTTTGAATGATAGAAATGATCGCGTGGAGGAAATTCTTCATATGATGTAGTACACAACTCAACACACTTTAATCACCGTCTCCCTCTCTTCTCATTTTCTTTCCTAAAACTTATTTATGACCATTTCTTTCCTTCGTTCTTCGCACCTGAGCATCTTCTGCCTCGAAGTAACTGCATTTCCGTCCCATGCTGCTTACTTTGGATTGTGAGGCCAGGTTTCCAACTATGGCAAGCTTATTTTATCGTGTTTCGAGAAAGATGAATTAATTTTTGATCCCAACCTATTGATCTTCCATTGTTGCTATACACCTAGAAGTGTAAATGGTAATAAACAACTGTCAGGAGGCTTAACGAATTCCCAGGAACTTGCTTACCATGGACAAAGTATCGAAGAAAGGTTGGATTTGCTACGCTGGCGGAAAATGTCATCGTCTGATGCGCAATTTTTGCTCACAAATTCGAGTGAATGTCAAATTAAGGCATTAAAGGTTAAATACGATGATCCCACGATCTCCCGCCATTAAAACTTCAGTTTTAGGCTTAAATTGCACTCAGAAGTGTACGAGAAAAGGCCAGTTTTATTTTACTCTTCTTCAATACCACCAAATCAAACCACAGTTTTCATTTCTGAGCTCTTTGCATTTGAGAAATCGTTTCGTCAATCCGGAAATATCCTCAACTTAGATGACTATTTTTCCCTCTCCATCTAATATGGGATAAACAACACTTTTGCAAATTACCCCCAGGCTAGCAAAGCAATGTACGCCTTAGGCAAAAATTACCAGTGTAATGGAGTGATGTGTCCTTAAAATCTACGTTAAAATCCGTGCACGATGTAGAATGTAAGCCGACTACCAAAAGGGATTGCTAAGGTGATTCTATACCCGGTGAACCCCCGAAAGGGCAGCAAAACTCCCAGGTAATACTGTATAAACACTTAGTATGTGTGCAAACGTTCATTTCTAAAGTAAGGTCTTTTGAGCGCACACTCCTAGACATGAACGCAACTGACGGACACGGATAAGTTGACTGCTCTTGACTTCACATCGATTACTGCATTGTTAATCAGAATTTGCAATCCGAGTCTTTTGAGACAGCCTACAGTGATATTTATCTACTGCAGGTGGGAAACCTCAACCACCTGCCGTATGGATCACGATGCAATGATGATCTGCTTTTTAAAGTTTGAATTTCTTCGGCCATGAGGAATGGCAATAGGTACCTCTTTCGTTATTTGAATGGTAAAACCTCTATCAATCTGTGTCCATGGATGCTGAAGATTCTCTTGGTCCCTGTGATGGTCCTCGTACATGTGAAGCATTCATCTTCAGCAGGTGTGCAACGATGTGCTGATTTTGTATACTTGTTGGTTCAGTCATTACCTTCGTTTTGACAAACAGTATGATCTTCTTGGAGCAGTGAATTACTTAGGAAATCTTTACATTAGATGAATTCTATAATTATAAGTTATAGTTAGTTATTTAGGAAGTTTTCGTCCAGCACTAATTTAAGTGACGCATCTGGTTACGACACTGATTTAGTCTTCTGAAATTTGTAGCATGTCAAGTGGATTTGAGAGAGAGATTTGTTTTATTTAAATTGCAAAGTCTTCAGTGAAATCAGCGTTCAGTGTATGCATTCAAGTCTTGGAGATTTTTTGATACTTTAAACTCGATCTCAGTAGATTATAGATGAATTTTCGTTTAATTTTCGTTAATTCTTTTATCTTTCCTATTAGAGAAACTCAAAGCAACAACAGACTTCACAGAGGCCTTTTCGATTATTAACTCTATCGAGCCCAGAATTGCTGCAGAGACTGCTACTTCAAATCTTCTTCCCCTTATTCATACTATTAAACGCCATCTTGTTGACTTTGCAAGGAGTTCGGAAAAAAACAAAACCCTTTTAGTCATATCTTCTCCGAAAGATTCAAAGCCTTCAAACAGGGGAAAGATCGACAGAAAAGATTCTAAAACAAAAGAGATGAGTACTAATAGCTTTAAAGGACACAAAGTGATTCACATCAGCAACGACGTTGAAGGTATTTCTTTTGATTTTAGCATAGTTAAATAATAGATACGGCTGTGCACTCCCTTATGGTATTTAATTTTTATTAAGTTCTTTTTGTACCTGAGCGTTCAGGGTTTTCAAGGGAATTGCAGTCATGTTGACCTACCAGACCAATATAGACACTCCATTGACTTGGTCAGTCACACTGAGTCAACGATAGAAACAAAATACACAAAACAAAAGTTATAGTAATATTAATACTAATAATAATAATAATAATGATGATGGTGTTAATGATAATAATGATAATTATTATAACAATAGGAATGGGAACTTAGCTGTGGACATCCTACGCGATGGCCCTAAATTTAGTTCGGTCTGGGAGTTCCCTAGCTGAATTTTAGCGATCATTTTCATCTCATCAACCCTAGGGCACTTAATAGCTAGTTTCAGTCTACCAGCTTCGAAATATTTAATTTTATAATTAAGTTTATTTCGTGACATAAGAAATGAAAACTACTTTGTCCGATTTCACCTGCAGGTAGGCTAGGAAAATGGACTGTTCTAAGAGCTATGGAAAAGTAGGTATTGAAAATATCTGTGTCTACATCTTTTTCACACCGAGTAGTATTATGGGGCATGGTTAAGTATTTCGCATTAAGAGCTATTCACGAAATTTTAGGCAAGACTCCGTGCTATAACTTTTTTTTATCACTTCAGTTATCGTTATCGTCACAGTAACTCTAGATACCCTCTCAGACAACGGCTTCGAGGTGTCTCACTAAAACAATTGATGTTATTTAAGACTTTTAGATTCCATACCCTCAAATGTCACTACTGCGGAGAGAATATGTCGTCCAGGTCCCATACATTGGACAGGAAAATCATCGGATACCGCGGATAAGAAATGTCTCATCATGGGTGACTCGATCAGTTTAGGGTACGCTTAAATGAAAGGTTACTAATTGACGAGTGGGTGTGGTGAGGAGGAGAATGAATACAATAAAGAGTAACATTATTGTGTGAGAGATCGATATAATATGGAGTTAATTCATCCACCTTCTTATTAAGATAGGTAACTTTAAGATGCCGCCACGATAAATAGTGCCGGTTCTTCTTTCTTCCAATTCCGATGCTATTTTCAATGAAAGTGCACCACCCTCACCAGTGCTCCTCAAATTCTGAGAAAGCTCAGATTTCTTTGGCTGCTACTGCTACATTTCTCCAAAACCTCGGCTTTTAACAGATAATTATCCGGTTGATCGGAATTGCAGTTGGTAGAGTTGAATCGAGGGAGAAAGTAAAATCATTGTTTTTCTCACGAGTAATTTTGGGTGAGCATGAGCATGAGTTAGGAGAGTTTCAGGATGGCATGAGTTACTGACCCTTTCGCTTACAAAATTAGCCAAAGAATTTCGACAGAAATACACAAAAATTGCGAAAGAGCAGGACTGAAGATTTTTCAGATGGTGTCACAATTGATTTATCATTCACTATGATGCACTCGGTAGGGAAACGGGGGGGGGGGAGGTTACGTCAGGTGTAGCAGAGAGTAACCTTTCCTTTTGTGTTAAGGAAAGTAGATATCGCCTATTCTCGTTTTCAAAACGGCGGGAAATGATCGTCTTTCGAGGAGTCACATTCTACGAAATTTCCCGCTGGAAACGATGTTTAATTGCTTAACTTTCACTGTTAGCTTCTGCACCAATGATGAGGATTGAGAAAAGAGTTTATATTATCATAATGGTTGCAGTTAAATTTATAATGAGCAAAACAAAACCGTAGTGTTAACTTCAATTTACACTTTGTTTCCCCTTTTAGTTATATGGATTATGTTGTTGAATTGCTCGATGGAGACTGTACTGTCTATCACGCTCCATGGTCTGGTGATGGAGGAAGCTTGGACACGCGCTATATGCTTCAGTGTTTACCCATGTTTCTATCCTCAAGTTTCTACGAACCTGTTCAGTATGACGCCATAATATTTAATGCTGGAATTCATGATATTGACTGCTGCGATTATCATAACGAGGTTAGTGAGATATTTTCTACTTTACCCAAATCGTCATTCCAAAAATGGAATTTTTGTTTGTTTGTTTGTTTGTTTTTATTTTTGTTATTTTGTATTTATTGCACTTTATTTATGAAATCACCATCGTTCAGGAAAGCAGTATGATGAGAGTAAATATTAACATGTTTTTTACTTACAACACTTCATACCTGGCTGAAGGAGCGGGACAGTTTGGGGGTTGAAAATTTATCGAATTATAATATTTCATCCAAACTACTTTTTGTTAATACTTTAATGAGTTCTTAGTGGTGCTTGGGTGGTTTTGAAATTTCCTTCACGTTTGCGTAATAGTGTTTACCTCCTTTGCTATACAAAAAACGTCGATTACATCTAAACGATAAAAACAGAAGCAACAAAAACAGATGGCATTGCCAAAATATTCCATTAATTACAATGGTAAGGTTAGTTGTGAGGAACAAAAGTGTCTCTCCTTATAAGTATCAAAAAAATGATCAATGGTGCGAATGTCTTCTTGATTTCACGTATAATTGAGTAGTAAGTATTCATCACAGTTCAACTCAAATCGATGTCGTTTTTTTTTCTTCTTTTAAGTATGTCCCTCTCAAAGAATACAAAAAAAATCTGAATAAAATCAAGTCGGCTTTATTAAAAACAGGCGCTATGGTTGGCTTCGCGACCTCCACACCCGTCCCATTTAGTAAAAAGATGGACCAGAGGCTTAGACAGTACAACAAAGCTGCAAAAAAGTATGTGAGTTGAAAATAGCTTGTGTTTTTTGTCACTAACACACAAAGAACTATTAACGTTTTGACTGTTAGGGTATTATGTGAGTACTATTAACTCCACGCATCGTGCGATATGCAATACGGGTTGGCGAGAGTAAATCATCCTCTCGGAAGGTGAAAGTAAATTTGCAGTGATAATTCAATTCGATCGACAAAGGCAATTTGAAGGGATTGTTCACAAACTCTCTTTTCTTTCTTGGTCTTACAGAGTTATGAAGGATGATAAATCCATTAAAGTAATAGACGTATATCACGCTTTAACCGAAAAATGTGGTGGACTGACCAAAAAATGCAGTCTATTTCTGGATCAGCCAAATGTAGTAAGTGATGCGAATGGCCGACAGTGTACATATGCTCTAAATAATTTTTATTCTTTTTTAACAACTTTGCATCGCATAGATACAAAACATATGTGCAAAATAGGTAGGGTTCTGCTCAAATACAAGCTTATTGGGTTTATGGGTTGGTCCCTTTTTATCAGGGATGCCTTCCTGACGGGGGTGACCCTCTTCAACTTACTACCTTTGTAACTGAAACACCTGTGGAAAGAGGCACTTCCTTGAGAAATTTGTACATTAAAATATTATTGAGAAAGACCTTTTCTCTCACTAGCATCTCAGTGGTGAAGGGTACTTTTTATTGGCTGAAAAGATCACTCAAGGATTCAAGTCTTTGTTGAAACGAACAAAGAAAAGAAAGAAAAAAGGTATCAAACATTAATATTTACAAATTTAGTCCACGATTTTTAAAAATCAGAAAGATGTGAGAGAATTGTGTGGATAGCAACGTGTAAAATTAACAAGTTTAATCTTTCAGATGAGGGCTGCCTTTGATAAGACAGTTCAAACCTGGCAATTTAAGCATATCAGTGTTGGAAAGAACTTTAAGGAAAAAATATAAATGGCCAAGTAGAAGCATATGGATCGAGTAACTGCTTTCAGCTCCGTTCAAATATGGGATAATTCTTTTCCACAATTTTGGGGATTGCAATTCGGGATAATAGTGTTAACTGGATATTTCATCATTACAGTATGTAGAAATCCAAATTACTCGTCTTGGTCCACTGTACTCACTTTACTCTACTTAAGTTCATTACCCTTCGATGAAGACTTTCATTCCTGTTTACGCTTCTCGCATTGACGATCTTCGTGGGCGTTCTCCAGCTTACAGAGGTCTCGCCCATTTTGAGTTCGCATCGTACAAGTCCACCTCACGACTTTATATGTTTCATCACCGATTAAATTATTACCCGTATCAAAAAACTGTCATACGAAAAGCTGGCACAAAATTATTTAGACAATATTCTCCTAATTGGAAAATCAGGATATCAGACAGCCAAAAAATAAACACACAGTCGCTAAAAAAGATCATTTTATTCTCGACAGTTTCCAAGCAAAACGATGCTCCTCCTGGTTCACTCTATTGTGTACCAAAAACAGGAAAAAAAGGGAAATACATACACAACCTGACAGGTTGTCCTGGAAACACAACCTGCTGCCTAAACGGTTATTCCAATTCTTTCGTTGGCTGTTGTATGTTAAAGGATGCAATGGATTGTGGGGATAACTGGCATTGCTGTCCTAAAGGAACTGTTTGTGACCCTGGCTGTACTGGAAAAAGTTGCGTATGTCGCAAAGCACCTTGGGAATCAAAAGCGTCTAGAACTGCATTTTCTCTCTTGATGAAAGCATTGAATTCATTTTGGAACAAAATAGCTAAAAACTATCCATCCTTAGAAAAATCATGATAGTCAGTCTCGCGTTATTTTGATGATATTTATGATAAGTTATTGGTGAGGGTAAAATAATTAAAAAGCGAGTGAAGCAGTAGTAACAGGATCGTAGCTCTTCCCCTGTTGAGAAACTGAAAAGCTATCAATTAACAAATCTAGTGGAAGAGAGAAAATCTTATGATAAAGCCTCTGAGTCTAAACTTTCGCTTTTCATATACAAGGAATCATTGCATAAATGTTTCTAAGCCTTATTCATATGGCTGTGCATGTAGAGTTTCATAACAGAAGCAAGGATTTGTCGTGTAACGGCCCTGATTAATTATGAAAATATACATAACATTTAAATTTTACAACGGCCGAGCATGAACCCTTGCATGGTATTTTTTTTTTTTTTTATCTGACTGTAAATATATGAAAATCGTATATGTCAACTACAGTTGAGGAAACGAATATGGAAGCGATCCTCGAAGTTATGAACACTACTAAGTAGTAATGAAAATAAGGCCTGAAAAAAATTCAGGCCCCTACGATACCAGTCAGCGCTCTACCAACTGCCCAACAAGCCGACTTCGAGAGTTTATTTGCAACCAACATAATAACAAGCTGTCAGTTGGCTTAGTAGCTCAGCGCTGCACCGCTGCACTGCGCTGCACCGGTAACGTAAAGGTCATGGATTCAAATCCCGTACGGGTCTGAATTTTTTTCAGGCCTAATTTTCACTTCTACTTCAGCAGTGTTCGTAACTGCGAGAATCGCTTCCATATTCGTTTTTTTATTTGTTTTTTTTGTATTTTTCTTCGATTTTTAAGCTCCTTTCTGCGTTCTTTTGCTACGTTTTTTCCCCTAAGTTACTTCAAGTGTTCTTATGTATCTATCTTGATAAGGTATCTGAATCATTTTTTGATTAGAGGTATTGAATGTGGTTCTTATATGCACACATAGCAAATTACTGTAAATAAAGTGGACATTATATGTCCGTTTCTAAAAGTAAGAATAAAATTACAAAAGTAAAACACATTTCATGAGCAACGGTCGAGCAAACTAACTAATCCTTTAACTCTCATGAGTGACCAAGACAGAATTTCTCCTCACAATATTGATACAATATCAAGCAGACAGGTGATGAGAATTAAGAAAAATGTTAATTAGGGGGATTATTAGTTGATCCCGAATACCAAATTCTCCAAACTAACATCACAAGAACTATATGGGAGACAGTAAGGAGAATTACTGATTAAATCTTGGGAGTTAAAGGGTTAAGAACGTTGTCAAGTTTCTCTGAATGTGAACTGGTACTATAGTGGTGGAAAGAAGCGGTGAAAGTGGAGAGGGTTCTGCCAAAAATTAAAGACAACGCCATGAACTGACCAGGACTTAAACCTTCATCTCTGAGTTTCGATCTTAAGTGTGGCGGTCTTCCCAGGGTGAGATCATTTTGAGTAAAAAGGACAAGTCTGCAGATTTACATGTTGGCACCCGTGAAAAAATACGACGTAATTCCCATGCATTTGACTTCGATGTGGTCATAAATAATGGTTTTAAATTGACAAAGCCGACCCAAATTGTTAGAGATTGTGCCACTTCTAGGCATATGATAAAACATCTTGGATATCTCGGTCTACCCTAGAGGAAAGCTTCGACTGAAGAAAACTTATCATCAGCTTTTACGGCTTGAATTTCCTCTATCCGCTATTTTTTTTTTCGCTTCTCTGTTACCGTGCACGTGTAAGGATTTGGCGGGCCACTGACAATTGATCAAATCGGCCAATCAGCCTGCACTGAACGCACGCATTGAAATTTATAAGACGCAATCGGTTGTAGGATTATTGAGATATTGGACCACTGTTCGACGGTTATGTGTGGGTAATATTAGCAATATTGGTAAAAGGAATCCTAAAAATGTTGACACTGGCTAAAAAGTATATTGTTCTGGACGTTTCGGCTGCTACTGTTGCCTTCTTCGGCAAATATAAAAATGCAAATGTAGAGTCCTGCTTGGTATATGTCCACGATGTGTGATAAAACTAAATCTCGAAGGAATTTTTTAAATGCAATAATAGTCCCTAGAGTATTTTGAATGGCTCTAAAAATTCTTAATGTTATTGTATATGTTTGGTGGCGTTATATGTTCGTTTATGGCGTTTCTATCTCGCATGGAACGCCAAGCTTCAAGAATTAGTCTGTCGCCACGCCGATGACCTGTCAACAATTTCAACACTCCCCAAATCTATTTGGTGACTGTGAAGCATATGGTGTTTGGCCAACAAAGAGTTTTCATCCAATGTTGCTATGGCCTTTGTGTGTTCTTTCACGCGTGTTTTTAGTAAGCCTAGAAGTGACACAATCTCATATGCTTGGCTACGCACCGATTATTTTTAACATAGGCAATATATTCGTTCTTTATTGGTATACTCCCATGTTAGAGGTTTAGCCACCGTAACAAACTGGTTTTTCTAAAGATTTTATTTGAATGTTATTGAACTGTTCAAAACAATTACTCAATATATCTTGACGCAACTGGCATTATGTCCTTGGCGACGTTATTAATTATCCCCGCGGACGCTGAACTGAATGACGGGCGACAAAACGACTTTCACGTCATAGGTTAGGTAATAAGGAATATGAAATCACGTGGCTTTACAATCATTACTGTGTACATCACGACGCGCTAAAATCACTCATTTTACGTGTAAACCATTTGAGGCAAAAGAGCTTAACACTGTGACGACTAAGGTAGGTATACAGAGTTATGATTATACCTCTCATTACGTTGGAATTGTCAAATTGAAACGTTAATGAAATTGTGCGTAAGTGGTATCAAAGCTCGTCTTAAACGAGAACAGTTATATTTAACTTTCTTAGCGAACTGTAGCCATATCTTTTGCACAGGAAAACGGCAGCTGGGGTGTCGTCTGCCGCTTTAAGCCTTGACAGTAAGCATTCAAAAACGAGTATTATTTTCCTTACGACACATTCTAGTCGAATACGATGAATTGCAAAGCGTAAAGCTGCTCATTCATGCATACTATTTACGAGTTCCTCACCAATAAACTCTACTTGATTCTGACTACAAAGATGGTGTCCATGTTAAAACGTTGTATGTTTATTCTACGCAAGGGCTTGTCCTTTCGCTACCAAAAGAACTGATTAATTGGCTTTCTGCACTAATTTTAGATAAAGCCTTGAAAGCTTTGTTCAAGACGGAAGAATTTTACGAGGATGAAAAGTCAGTTATTATGTGAAGAAAAAAATTAACAAGGAACAAATTATTATGATAAATTTAGGGTTTCTCCGTCAAAATGGCGACATTTCTGATGTACATCAAGTGATATTTTCCATTTCAAAAAAATCCAGTAAATAAAGAAAAATATTCCTTTAAAGTTTATTTCACGATGTTAGACGGTGTTGACGTTGCACTAACGACAAATTTGTTTTTTCAAATGGTCCAACACAAAATCCCACGCAGTAAAAGTTTTGACGCAAAGTTGTCGTCAATACTTTGTCTAGCCGATCCCACGCGCAGAAAGAATATTTGAAGGAAAAAATTTCACCAGCTTCCATTTACCTTGAAGAGATTCTCGTATACACTGGCTCATACCTTTTCTTGAGCATAGCTCTATAAATCTCTTAGTTTCTCGGAAAAGATACTATATATGGACAAATATCTAATAACTTTGACTCGCCCAAAAGACTATTGCTCATATAGTAAAACTAATTCCGCGATGACTGTATGATATCACTAAATTTCGTGCGGAGGATTGAAATAAAGGTTTTTCATACCACAGGCATCCCAAGCTCGCGTCTCGTGAAAAGCGCGTGGGCTCAGGATGTCTGTATTTATTTATATTGTGTGGTCACCTTGAACAACAGAGATGTGAACGTGACGTGCTAAAATTAAAATACTCTTATTAAAAGGTAAGGTTATTAAGGGAATAGTCGTAATCAACTAACTTTTATAGTTTTGTTGAATGGCATACGACAATGTTTTATTTCCATTCATTTCCCAACACCTTAGTAAGACATAGACCCTAATACAGAAAAAACTTTTTGTGATTAAATTTTTCTTTAAAATAATTCTGTTTTCGCTGGTTTAGATTATCGGCCAACGATTGACTAAATATGTAATAAGGCTTTTGTTATCTACATTTCATAGCAGTTTTCAAAGTGCGTTTTTACGTTTTACTGCTCAGGTTGTTTTGGATAATAATTGTTTTACCTCATAATAAATTCTTGCTTCATGGATATCTTTTTATGGCAGTTCAGGTTTTTAAACTTATTTTTTGACCCTCTTCCGGTTGACGCTAAAAGATGTCAGTGAACAGCAAGTTTTTGAACTGCTACTTTTAAATACCTTTGATGTTAGCTAGATCGACATAACGTTTTCACTTTATTTTCAACATCTTGTAGATAGATACTATACAGAATGGTAGAATGTCTAATGGTAGAATATGTAAACATCATCCTTGTTCTTTTTTTTTTTTTTTCTTTGCATTTCCTTCGGAAGTTACATTGATCTCTTTAATTCTTCAATGACTGAATTGTATTTCCTTCTGTCCTGCCCTACACACGATATCTTCCCCAGGAAACAGATTAGAATATACTCGACTGCCCACACCCAATATTTTACCCAGTAGGAAACATTATAGTCGGTGTGCTTAAACCATGTTTGGCCAAGAAAAATAATGGATCACTGTGCGATGTAAGCGTCTGGCTGTTCCTCTCTTCCTTTTTCAATCTTCTTAAATGCTTTTCTTACCCCAAAATAACACTTTTGTGACGATATCACTGAACTTTGATGTTATCAGTATTGACATAAAAAAAAAAGACCGATATATCGTGACAAACACGGCATGACCAGCCACGCTGATTTAAGGGATCATCACCGGGAAGGTGGCTTCGTCTCAAAACTAGTTCCTAAAGACGTTAGTTCCGATTTGTCAAGTTAAATATCTTACACAGTGTTATTTCGGCAAATTTTGACCAAACAAGAGTAATCGCTTCGAAGACCGTTCACA